CTTGTAGTTTGATTTGTTTAGTGTTGAGTACTTATGTGATAACTGTACTTGTCAGGGTATTTACGTATAGTCGATTAATCATCTTTATACATCATGCATACCAATATAATCATAGATCAAGAGCAAGATGAGAGATAACATTGTCAAACGCATTTTAATTATCTGTTGTATTTTAAGTTTATCGGGAAGTTAGACAATCGATTGATGAAACTTACACATGTGACAAAGGATAATAGTTTGTGTAAGTTATAAGATAAAATTTTTCGATCGCTCTCTCATAGCAACATCAGTGAAAGCATAACGATGAGGGTGTAGGTCGATATGAGTCATTGTCGATAAAAAGAAGATGCACACTCACCCACATCCACATCCTAGATTTTGGTTTTATTTCGAAAACAATGATATTCACTTTTTGTATCATATAGTTTAGAAAATGAAAACAGTTCTCTAGACGGTCAAATCTATAGACAATTTTCTCTGTAACAATCAACAATTTTCTCTGTAACAATCAACAATTTTCTCTGTAACAATCAACAATTTTCTCTGTAACAATCAACAATTTTCTTTCTTTCAGTTACATATTTGTCGATTGTGTTGAATTTTTTTGCTATTTGACTTTTTAAAAATAATTTCGTTCAGTTGTTTTCAGTTTTTGTGATAAATAGTTGCAGACAAAAAACTACGACAAAAGCTGGCTTAGATTATATGAATTATAGTAAAAAAGCAACTACATATAACAACAAACAAAATTTTCACACAGAAGGAAGAAGATACCAGCTTGAAAAAAATCAACGAAGATAATAAATACATTATAGTGATGTTTTTAACAAAACTAACAAGCTACAGTATTCTAAACTAGTTTTTACTACAAGAAATAAACTGCGATCCCGTTCCGATTAAAATATAAACTGGAAAACTTTCAAGGCTATAATCTATTTTGTTGAAAATACAATGAAAAACGCTGGCTGATCAAACAAAAAAACAAAAACGAAAAGCGAATAGTTGAACAAAAAAACTGAGTCACTAATTTCAAGTAATTACAAAATTTTAGAAAATGTTATCATTTGAGTCTAGAACATCCAGGCTTCCAAGTACTGTCTTCCAAACACTTAAGTTTACAATATTTAAGTACTCGATAGTTCAGCTTTAATTATAAATCTCTTGTTATCAATAAAACTTTTTGGGTTTTTCAAGATTGTTCAACCTATGAGTCTCTGAAAGTCCATCATGTTCATCATTGATGAAGCCTTTCAGCAAAATTCAAGGATGCACCAAATACTGACTTTTTACCTTGAAAATCGCTTATGTGTGGTACTTTGAACCGTCAACTCCGAACAATTCTTCTAGTGAGACCTACTCAGTTATGATTGTTCTATCTGAGGCAATTATCGAATTTGACTGAGTATGAGTAAAAGATGTAAGAATTGGTCAGAATTAAAAAAAAATTTCTGGATATACAACCAATACCTACATCTTTTAATACATTTAGTCAAATTCTATTATTGCATCAAATAGAGCAATCTAAACTAAGTAGATTTCACTTGAAGAATCGGTTGGAGTTGACAGTTTTAAGTACCGCACATAAGCGATCTTTAGGATGAAAAATCAGGCATTGGTGCATCCCTAAGGGAATTAATAAAACTAATGAGATGTGTTTCATATTATGAAGTAGACGAACAAAGATATCCTTGATTACTAGTTTCACATTGAAACGAAGTTATATAGTAATTATTATCAGAGATCATCATATTTTTTGTAGGTTTGTTTTCCATATAATTTACATAAGTAAATTATATTTGTTGATTATTTTACATGTCATATCATACTTGAAACCGGTACCGCACCTGCTGATTTGTCAGTTACCAATTCGGTCTGGTTGAACTTTTAAAACAGATCAGTTTTCACAGTCTGTTTTTATTAACTTAATAATTTCCATGGCTTTTATGATCAACACATGTGAGCCTAGAAGTCTCTAACTGACAAATTTCTATTAGTTGTCAAAATCCTAGTCCTAAATATTGAGATAATACGTTCTCATCATACAATGAACGCTGTGGGTCACACTGAATGAGTTACTTATGCTCACGAAAAGTTTGCCAGATGCGAGAAGTTAATTCCGATCAAACTTAAAGATCTTTCATCTCAAAATTGCGAGCTCACTCTTTTGAACTATGAATAATGGACTCTCAAGGCAGGAGTTTTACTATTAAAAACTTTAAGAGTTATGGATTTTATACTGTATATCTTTGTAGAACTGAAGTATTAGACTGTTTCTCGAAAGAACTACAGTCCACGACAAAAGTTTAAGTGAAATTGATTTTTCAGTATTTT